GTAATAAAGCTATGGTTTTATACAAAAATACTGGTATTACATGTGTTTTACTAATGGAAGATGTTTGTCTACCCATAGATTACGTAAACGTGTGAGGGCTAAAATCCCAATTGTTGGACAGTATTCAATCTAATTCAGGTCTGCATGATTACAAGTCTATTTAACCACAAATTCTTTCCAAATCGTTCTGCAATTTCTCAGCAGCAAATCCAAATTCCTGTTCAGGATGGTATCCATATGAAAACATTTGTGACAAAATATTTTACACTAAAATGTAGCTGATTATGGGGAGGGGAGGGAGGACGGAGAGGCGGTGAGGGTGGATAGGGAGACCCCTTCAACACATTCCAATCCTAAGGAAAGGGATCTCTTCATCTCATCCCTGTAATGGTGATTACCTGCACTTTTTTTTCTCCATTTTAAGTGGTATTTTTTGTTTTCACAAAACAATTTTTTCCCCGTTTTTATCATATACAATTATATATTTTTTTGTATATTATAAATAAACCAAAGTGAAGAAGATGGAAGATTTTTTTTTTTTGGTACTATAAATGCTTAAGTTAACTAGTTATAGTGATTTCTTTAGGGTGTTAAGAAGAATCTTTTGCTACTTTTCTGGTAGAAAGTCTAGAAGAAGAGGACATCACATGAATAATTTGATATAAAAACAGTATATATATCCCAGTAGATGTATATTTGTAAAGACGACTGCTGAAAGAACTTAAATGATAAAACATTCGGATATTGATAAAAAACGACCATAATTACAAATGCACCACAGGACATCTAACACCTACATCAGGCGGTATCCACGGAATTCGCACCCAGACCGCAAACCCAGACACAGATGCTGCAGTGAACTTATAAAGGTGGAATTATTTTAATGATTTTTGGTGTCCAAGTCTAAACCAGAAGCTGAACTAAGAATGTGGCCCCCTTCACCATCGATATAACTCTTGCAGTTCAAATATACAATGTAATTAAAATTTTCTCAGTTTAGAATTATTTTTGCTTTTCATAATGATCACCCTGGTTTTCCACTCGTAGAAAGACATGGATGGGTTCCATAACAATGGAGAGAAGAAGCCGAGCCACATAATTAAAGGCCTTTTGGGAGCTACGAATGTGAATCCTTTTAATTAGGCCTCAAACCAATTCGCCTTTGGTGCTATAATCTTAATGACTCGTGAAAGCGTCTTCAACACCGCTTGCCCACTGTGAAACAATGTCTTCCCTAAACAGTTAACTAACACTACAGTTCCAAATTTTCAATTTATTTGCTATCCAATTATACAATTTAGAATTCTGCAGATTCTACCTACAATTTGCATATGGTTATAATTGCGGAGGGAGCTACCTCGCTATTAAATAACCTACGTCGCTCCAACGAGCTGAGCGCCACGTGCCTCGCATGTGCACTTTCATCTACCAATACCATCCATTTTAATGTGAAAATCATGTTACGACATTAAACCCTAACGCAAACCTCCCCTCAGATAAGTGGAAAGCAAAAACACATTTGACAATTTCAGGCAAACACATTTCATTTTATCATTTCCAAAAAGCCTTGATTATCTGCCAAGAAGCTTCATCTCCTAGGTAGCTAAAGGGGAGCACCTCTTCCAGAACATGTCCTTCTCTAGATCAAATTTCTGATTTGTGTTTATAGGTGCGACTTTTACCAAAAAAACTCTGACAAATAAACAATTTGAACAAGATTCTGGTTCCAGATACTGTTTAAGTTACTCCAACTCATTGTAAGACAATGTACCAATAAAGCCCCGCTATGATTAGGTAATGATATCTATCTGAATGCCTTTCCTGTGTAATAGCTTGCCCATGGGTAGAATTGTGAGACATTTCATAAATATCTTCCAGAACTTGTAATTGTAAAATTTACATAGCATAATTTGTTATATGCCCTTTAAGTTTTTTACTTTTTCTTTGATAAATCTTTTAATGAAACTGTCACTACCCAAGTAAAACTGATTTTTTTGTGTGCATAAAGCATATCACACCACTTCTATCTGACAAATTCTGTCTGTGGTTTTTAATGCTTTAAGTAACTATTTCTGCAGATAGAATTCATGAAATTACAAAATTCTGACACAAGGATGACCTTTTGACATTGAAATGCACAAGCAATGAAAATATAACCCCGAACATTGACAAACCCTGACTCCTTCCTGACCCTCACATTCCCAAGTCGCTCTCTCCTTAACATCCCCCATTTATTTAAATTAGCAACATACACTAGAAACATGCATCTCCCCTCAACTGATGGCATCTGTGTCTTGTGCGGACTTTAAAAGCCCCTAATTTTGTCACTCCCCATCAGCGGGGACCCCAGCAGGATGGGAGAATCGTGAGGATTCGTGTGCCAGAAGTTTTCAGGGGTAGCGCTTTGATTATTCGACAGGTAAACAGTCGGTGAGCTCAACATGAACCAAACCATGTTGTTCTGGTGTCTGTCATCATCGTGTACTTACTCGTACCTCCACTGCACCCAGTGTTTAAAGCATTGTTGATTGTTATACATTTGGTTGAATTGTCGAAAAGACATTCATTTCTTTTGTTATTGATATATACAAAATACTAGCTTTCAATTAATGATATTTTTTCATTGTGGAAAAGAATATTTTATGGATATACATTTTTATGATGAAAATAGTTTTGAAATTAATTAAAAAGAATTACTTTATGGGTTTAACAATGTCCAAAGACAGGAACAAATCTACTAAACTAAAATAAGTATGATTTTTACTACCTGCTGGATACTATTGATAACTATTTATACATTTGTACATGGAATAAGTTCCTGATTTATTTCAAGTTTTGATAAGGCTCATCTTTTGAACATAATATTTTCGTTTCAGTAAATTGGCTGATTACTGCCACCTCCCCACACCATGTGCTGGTGTACCCAATTTGATTGCTTGATATAAAGTCATAGGATTGTTCTTTATTTCCATTTTATCCAGTTTGAAAATCATCATGACGTCATAGAAATAGTTTTGTGTTACAAGAGCAAGTAATGAGACGAAATCTGTTGCCAATGTAACGGGAACGCTTGTAATGTACGACAGACACATTGCCAGCTCAACTCCTGCTACGAACATTACAACAAACTCTGTGTTAAGGATGCTTACTGCACCTGTGTCACTTTTTCAAGTTCAAGAGTAATCTCCCTTGATTTATTGTCCATTAGTTAGATTTCTAGTAATCAAAGCAAGATGTTAGAATGTCCCAAAATGTCTCTGTACAATATCTATGTAAAACCTATCCTGTAAAATTACATTTCAAATACAAAACATTTCTTTGACTATAAACATATTTTGCATTGATATGCTGTGATGTAAATGTTCTACTTCTTCATTCTGCATCTAACGATTTTTGGGTTGAGTATTTATTAAAAAAGAATTCTCAACAAGTTAGGTTTTTTATGGGGATGAAAATTGTATAGGACACCAAGCCACACAACACTACGTAACTATCATATTTATCCCACTGCTGTGGTCAAACATACTACCGACCCGTCTCATGTACCCCTACCCTGGGTAAACCCTGTCTTATGTACCCCTACCCCGGGTCAACCCTGTCTTATGTACCCCTACCCTTGGTCAAACATACTACCGACCCGTCTCATGTACCCCTACCCTGGGTCAAACATACTACCGACCCGTCTTATGTACCCCTATCCTTGGTTAAACATACTACCGACCCGTCTCACGTACCCCTACCCCGGGTAACCCCTGTCTTATGTACCCCTCCCCCGGGTCAAACATACTACCGACCCGTCTCATGTTCCCCTTCCCTGGGTAAACCCTGTCTTATGTTCCCCTACCCGAAGTCAAACATACTACCCACCCGTCTTATGTACCCCTATCCTTGGTTAAACATACTACCGACCCGTCTCATGTACCCCTACCCCGGGTAAACTCTGTCTTATGTACCCCTACCCCGGGTCAACCCTGTCTTATGTACCCCTACACTGGGTCAAACATACTACCGACCCGTCTTATGTACCCCTACCCCGGGTCAAACATACTACCGACCCATCTTATGTACCCCTACCCCGGGAAAACCCCGTCTTATGTACCCCTACCCTGGTTCAAACATGCTACCGACCCATCTTATGTCCCCCTACCCCGGGTAAACCCCGTCTTATGTACCCCTACCCTGGGTCAAACATGCTACCGACCCATCTTATGTACCCCTACCCCGGGTAAACCCCGTCTTATGTACCCCTACCCCGGGTCAAACATACTACCGACCAGTCTTATGTACTCATACCCCGAGTCAAACATACTACCGACCCGTCCTATGTACCCCTACCCCAGGTCAAACATACTACCGACCTGTCTTATGTACCCCTACCCCGGGTCAAACATACTACCCACCCGTCCTATGTACCCCTACCCCGGGTAAACCCCATCTTATGTACCCCTACCCTTGGTCAAACATACTACCGACTCGTCTTATGTACCCCTACCCCTGGTAAACCCTGTCTTATGTACCCCTACCCGAAGTCAAACATACTACCCACCCGTCTTATGTACCCCTATCCTTGGTCAAACATACTGCCGACCCGTCTTATGTACCCCTACCCTGGGTAAACTCTGTCTTATGTACCCCTACCCGAGGTCAAACATACTACTCACCCGTCTTATGTACCCCTACCCCACGTCAAATGTACAACCCACCCGTCTGATGTACCCCTACCCCAAGTCAAACATACTACCGACCCGTCTTATGTACCCCATCCGAGGTCAAACATACTACCCACCCGTCTTATGTACCCCACCCCAAGTCAAACATACTACCCACCCGTCTTATGTACCCCACCCAAGGTCACACAACACTACCCACCTGAAGTATATACCCCAACCCCGGGTCACACAACACAACCCACCTGAAGTATATACCCCACCCCCCGGGTCACACAACACTACCCACCTGCAGTATATACCCCACCCCCCGGGTCACACAACACTACCCACCTGAAGTATGTACCCCCGGGCGTAGTCCTCATAGTTCCAACCGAAGCCCTGTAGGACCTGTAAGACCTCATCGTGCTGGAGGACACTGAAGAGTCGGTCGAGGAGAATCTTGAGCCGTATGGGTGTGGCCTGGGCACCATATAACATGAGACTGGCAATGTCAAAGACAATGTTGGGCTGGACTACCTCCACCTGCATCCCGAGATTGAATATGTGTCGATAACCCAGCTTGTCTAATGCTGAAAAATATCAAGGAAATCACAAATTTAATCCAAAGATAAATATGCTTAATGCTTATTCATTTAAAATTTAATTTCAAAATAAGGAAAATAGAAGATTGTGTCCAATTTTTTGTTTTGTTTTCAAAACCCCAGTTGAAGAATATTACCTAGATAGAAACAGGATACCAAGAAAATGATTGGAGATACTTTTAGAAACACATTATACCTGAAAGGTGTCCAGGTGAGTTATACCTGGAAAATGTACAAAGTTAACTGAGACAGGATTGTCCTAGTGTCTCAGAACAGAAACACATGTATCAGAGAGACCAAGAGAAAGGAAAGGTCCCTAGGGAGCAGCCATTAATTAGGTTTATCTCTCCAATTAAGGTCTCCACACACAGGTACCGGAAAGGGGAAGTCTTTTCGTGCATGATATCTGTGTATAATTGATCTCGCTATGAGGTCAGGTCATGCAACTGTAGACAGTTGGTCCGGGACAAGCATCACTGCCAAGTTTACCTTTGGTCACCATTGCCCAAGCATGCCAGAAGGCAGTAAACATCCGAATCACCATTACTAATAAATGACTGTATACATAAGGCCAAGGCTAAAGACGACCCGGGTGAAGCAGTGCGCGATGAATATTGTATTACTTTATGAATTATTTTTTATTACTCTGGCCAACGACATCAATTAGGAACTCTCTTTGGCCTTTGTTCTTGAATATTTTAAGGTTGGACAGATGAAATATAAAGAGAATGACTTATTTCATGAAGATCTCTAAATCAAGACGTCTTTGATTTTAAACTTTCTGTAATAGATATCCTTATCATTAGCTGGTCATCCAAGTTGGACCTGATGCGGTGAACCCCTCACAGTTTTAAGCTAAGGTAATAGGTTGTACACAGAATACCTTTATCATAAGGAACATTGGCTTTATGTTACATATCAACTGTGTCCAAAACAAACAATTCTACCTAACCATACTGGCAGTGACACACAGCTTAAGTTAAACCTCTACACCCCCCCCCCCCCCCCCCCCCCCCCCCACATACTAGTATGTGTAACAGCCATACAGAGTGAGAGGTAGGAATGAGGAAAAAGAGTAGAAAGAAGGAGTATATGTATTTGTTGAAAACTAAAGACTTAACCTGATCCCTGTTGTAAGTATCATATTCATATATAAATCAAAATGTCCCAATGAGAAGGTATCAGTCTTACTTAAGTTGTAAATGTACTATTTTGTCAAGCCCCCACTCCAATAACTGTCAATATAACCTGCACTTACCCGAGTGGTAAGAGTACTAGTTGGACCCAGCCTCACCCCTGGGGTCACTGTCAATAAAAAATGTCCCAAACTTACCCTAGATATAAATGCACTATTTTGTCCCAGCACCAACTAAGTAACTGTCAATGTGAAATTTCCCAAACTTACCCTAGTTGTAAGAGTACTAGTTTGTCCCAGCCTCACCCCTGTCCCAAACTTACCCTAGTTGTAAGAGAATAAGTTTGTCCCAGCCTCACCTCTGTCCCAAACTTACCCTAGCTGTAAGAGAATTAGTTTGCCCCAGCCTCACCCCTGTCCCAAACTTACCCTAGTTGTAAGAGAATAAGTTTGTCCCAGCCTCACCCACTGTATATAAGTCCCAGTGTGTATAGTGTTGATGGGTTCACATGTCCCTCTGTCACTGTACCAAGTAACCAAGCCATCTGTAGATGTGTGATTTATACGTTTGTCAGGAGGGTTGAAGCAGCAGAGATGGGGGAGGGGGCCAATCATTGGCTAGCAGTCAAACTTCACCGTATCAGCAAAGCCCTGTCAGCTCCACAGAATGTTACCCATGAAAATTGTGTCACTTAACACTTTCATACTTTATTATCCCAACTATTCTATTTATCAGAGTTAAACAATTTTCTCTTGAAAGGAAGAACAGAAACACTCAATACTTAAAATATTTACAGGACTTTGTAATTGTTAAACTTTGATTTGAGAAGTGTTGCGTTATCCTAACAGTGCTCTGAGGAAATAGGTGAGGAGGATACAAACACAGGAGGAGCTGCTGATAGCCAGAGTCTGACTTATGGTCAAGTGAGGATGTCAGGAGGGGAACCAACTTATCACCCACCGATTCACAAACACACAATGACCCCGGGAACTTTCCCTGGTTCCAGGTTCCTGTAGAGCCTGATAACAGTACACTTTTACACCTCGCTCACATCTGTGGTTTACTGAGTAAAAGTAAAATAGTGAATTTCTGTAAAAATCCTTTACTAAGAATACTCTTGTTTTTGTTCCCTTTTTAAGTTGGATTGAAATCCCAATAATTTATTACAGAGTAATCTTGTATTTCTTCTCATCATGTGTGTATCCTTGAATCTTGTTAATTCATGTGATAAGAAAAATTCATTTTCAAGATGTCTGCATCTTCGACCATAATGTAAAAGTCTGAAATTTTGCTATCCATATTTTCAAAGATTGACTAAATTGGTCAATTCATTGGATCTATTTTTCATGGATTTTAGTGCCCTTTGTATCCAGTGCTGCAAAAAGGATGAATCAGAATGCTATTTTGTGGATATGTTTTCTTTGTTTTTGTGACCAGTGTGAATATTACAACTCTGCAAAAAAATCCCACCTTTTATGGTATTTCCTGAAAATATCTATACAGAAACTTGTTAACTAACAGAGTTTCAAGATGATATTGAAATAAGAAATGAAATGATTTCTACAAAGCTTCACCTGAAGTATAAATCAATGTGTCAAAACAACCCAAGCAACAACAAGTCTAACACCGTCTATAAACTGTTCCCAAGCAACAACAAGTCTAACACCTTTTATAAACTGTTCTCAAGCAACAATAAGAAAATACAGGTTTTCGTTGTCGCATCAAAACCAGAGATATTTCAATTGAAAATCAAACCAGTTGAGTCGGGATCAATAGTTTGTTTGCCTGCCAAACTTTGTGGAAGTGTGACATTGGTATGTGCAGGCCCTGCAATGATATATTGATGAGAAGGGTCGAGTACGCAATCAATATCGCTATGATGAATGTATCACATGACAATTCTTATTTCACCCCATGCATGCCAGTTACAAGGAACACTGTCACAGAGGGTAAAAAAAAGGAAGTTGGCATCCTGATGGAATTGTAACTATATTGATTGGAAACCCTGAAATGGTACCTCTACTACAGCTAGTATCAGTTGTACTGATATCAGATCAATTTCATTCATGAATGACACCAAAGACATCCAATTGGAAAAAAAGTATGAAAAATATGGAAATGTGTAGACTTTGATATATTTTATAATGCAGGAATTTGCTGTCAGATTTTATAACAAAATTGATTTTTTCCCCCACCTCATGCACTTTTAGAACTTCACACTGCAAAAAATGTAAGCTCCTGAATGACCTTGATCGAATATCAAATTGCCTTCACACACAAAATTCAATCAGAGACATTGTCACAGTGGTTTTCTCAGTAACCATAGCAACGGCCTCATCTCGCTTTAAACAGCTGTTCAGATTCCTTAAAATCATTGAATGCAAAAAATATGATCAGGCACAGAGAGTTTCACGTGGACAAAAACCTGTCAAACTAAATAGGTTTGTTTATGGTATTAATGATATTTGTTTCTGTAAAACCAAAATGAAACTGCTGTTTAATTTTTTTCATTTTTCACTTTAAATTTTGACAATGTGAAAATATAGCTAAATAAAAGATCACTTATACTTTTTAAACGAGGTAGAGAGGACACAGTCAGGTAAATCTGGATTAGAGAGTTGAGTAATCATGATTATCACAAAATATTACATATATTTCATTCCTTACTGTTATATAACAGAGCTGATTTAAATTCAACTTTTCTAACAGTTGCAAGGTTTTTGTTCCGTTTGAAATATTTGCAAATGGATTTGAGGAAGAAATTGAGAATAGAGAATACTGTAACATAGGGATACAGAGGAGAATTGGTAAAGGAGGAATGGGGACAGGGGACAGAGGATAATTGGTACAGGATGATATGGGGACAGGGGACAGAGGAGAATTGGTAAAGGAGGAATGGGGACAGGGGACAGAGTATAATTGGTACAGGAGGATATGGGGACAGGGGACAGGGGACAGAGGATAATTGGTACAGGAGGATATGGGGACACGGGACAGAGGAGAATTGGTACAGGAGGATATGTGGACAGGGGACAGAGGACAGGGGATAGGGGACAGGGGACAGAGGAAAGGGGACAGAGGATAATTGGTACAGGAGGAATGGGGACAGGGGATAATTGGTACAGGAGGAATGGGGACAGGGGATAATTGGTAAAGGAGGAATGGGGACAGGGGACAGAGTATAATTGGTACAGGAGGATATGGGGACAGGGGACAGAGGAGAATTTGTACAGGAGGATATGGGGACAGGGGACAGAGCAGAATTGGGACAGGAGGATATGGGGACAGGGGACAGAGGACAGGGGATAGGGGACAGGGGACAGAGGAAAGGGGACAGAGGATAATTGGTACAGGAGGATATGGGGACAGGGGACAGAGGAGAATTTGTACAGGAGGATATGGGGACAGGGGACAGAGCAGAATTGGGACAGGAGGATATGGGGACAGGGGACAGAGGACAGGGGATAGGGGACAGGGGACAGAGGAGAATTGGTACAGGAGGATATGAGGATATGGGGACAGGGGACAGAGGAGAATTTGTACAGGAGGATATGGGGACAGGGGACAGAGCAGAATTGGGACAGGAGGATATGGGGACAGGGGACAGAGGAGAATTTGTACAGGAGGATATGGGGACAGGGGACAGAGCAGAATTGGGACAGGAGGATATGGGGACAGGGGACAGAGGACAGGGGATAGGGGACAGGGGACAGGGGACAGAGGAGAATAGGTACAGGAGGATATGGGGACAGAGGAGAATTGGTACAGGAGGATATGGGGACAGGGGACAGAGGACAGGGGATAGGGGACAGGGGACAGAGGAAAGGGGACAGAGGATAATTGGTACAGGAG